TGCATCACATATTGTTTTTCAAAAATTGTTTTTCAGCAATCACCATTTTCTCTGTCACTAACTCTGTCTGTCTCTCTCATTCTCTCTCTTTCCCTCATGTGAATAATTTACTTATGTTCTTGGTATGGGGGCGTGGTCAATCTGGCGGCACGTACATTTTAAAATAATTTTTTCCATTGAATAATTTATTAATAAACTAATAATGTACATGAAATAATTACATAAAGACTAATCTGTTTTCAATGGTTTCATAATAAGGTGAAGAAGAACAAGTTTGTTCATATTTCTTGTCTAGCCATAGGCTCCTTAGTGTATTATTGGTCCTGAGAGATTCCATCAGTACCAGTACTCCATCAGTATCAATGTTAGTACCAATGAGATAAAGGTAAGATAGTGTGTGGTTGTAGAGTAAAAGTTCAGCTAGTGACTGAGCACTGGTTGAAGTGATGTCAGGATTGAAATCAAGATGTAAGCGAGTAATTGTTTTATTATTAATTAATGATTGTGTTAGTGCAATGACTCCATCATCATTGATGGAATCATCATTGAACCCTAGTGCCACTAATGAAGTATTGTTTGTTATTGTGTGAGACAGTAAGAGGATGACATCTTTTGTTATTTTAGTGTTGTATATACCAATCCCCTTTATTGCTCTTATGTCTAGTACTTGAGACATCATCAAGTATACAATATCAGGTGATGAGTGATGGAGGTCAATGTACTGATGACTGTCCGTTAATTGACTGATCACTTCCTGACATTGACCTGCTAATGGTTTAATGAGGGATACACTACGACTGGTCCACTTCACCTCTCCAGTCTCTTCTCCTAATAATAAACACAGTCAGTCAGTTAATGTGTGTATATTATTATTTTAATACAGTATAATAGGTAAAATGATAATATTATATTATTTTATTAATGATGTTTGTTTGTGTGTTGTTCCAGGTGATGCTGGTTTTTGTACCAGTAAGTCATTACAGCTGCTAGGATGGAATGGGTGTGGTCTATCTTTTATCATGTGACAGGAAACAAAAATCAATTGTACGTTTTATTAATGTATTAGAATCAATAATTATTGTCCCTTTCTCTCCCTTCATCACTCTCTCTCACTCTCCCTCCGGCTTTACTTCCCTCCATCTTTTTCTCTCCCTTTCTCTTTCTCTCTCTTCCTTCTTCCCCTCTCTCTCTCCTTCTCTTGTAGGGTGAAGGTCACTGTAGTACTTATAAACTGATTCAACCACATGCAGTTAAGTGTGGACACAATTGAGCTGGTTTCTGAACCATTTTAAGTTGAACTGGCTTGTATGTATAGATGTGACTTAATTTTTGTGATTTTTTGGTAAATTTCAAATATGCAGTTTTTGTGATTTTTGATATTGTATTTAAAAATTAATTATTAATTTTATTATAAATTAATTATTAATCATAAACACTTTTTAAATTTACTATACCGTATTGCGGGTTAGTCTTGCCACGATCCGCAGGTAGTGAAGGGGCGGGGCGAGACTAATAGTGGGTATATTCCATTCGAGCTTAATTTCGTTCTCATTCCTTGTGGAATGAACATTTTCCAAACAAAAAGGGTGTTTCCTCAATGCCACGTGTGCAAAATGGCTGCTCAGAACGTAAATAAAACAAACAAAAATTTCTAAAATAAACATTTTTCCAGACAAAATATACCCGCTATAGGGTATTACGAGTAAATTTACTCTTGACTATATCACATACAAATTGTAGATGACTCATCAGTTTTAAGTGACACAAAATTAATTCTTAAACTTAACAATTCTTTAATTTAGCGTATTACATACAAATTGTAGATATAATTGTAATTGTATCTGACCTTCACCATTAACAATAATTACAAGCTATAGCATCTTCATTTGTGACCATAATTGACAAAAGGTACCTTATGGCGGATTTTAAAATTTATCATTATAATGAAAAATATCAACCTGTGAGTGCTCTGTTGGACAACAATTGTTTCTAAAAGTTACATAGTAACTTTTTGCATCCTCTGAAGTAATTTAATGATAATTGGAGCTCAGGAAGTTAGATTTTTCAAGCTATAAAGACCAATTTTCCTATCCGCCATAAGGTACCCTTTTGTCAATTATGGTCACATTTACTTAGCAAAACCTGATACAAATGGGCAATTTTAAACAGGAGAACCTCCTGAAGAACTTGATGGTAATTGAATTATGAATCTGATTGGTCCATTACAACTAGGCAAAGTATGCAAGCATAATCTACACACTATCAGTATAGTCCATTAATTATTTACTGTATCTCTACAAGACACTTTATTAATTAATTACTTGAGGTATTTGATGGTTCTTTAGTTTGATGTGGTTCCACAGTTATCATTAGTCTATCCAACTGTTCCTTTATCTCTTGATGAATAACATGTTTATCCTCTTCTCTTTTATCTAGTGTCTGTTCACTGGATATTTCCTGGTCCAGTTTCAATGTATCTCTTTTATAATCTATCAGTGACACTCTACATTACTAATAAATTATTAATAAATTGTACCTTTTATTTCCTGCATCAATTCTTCATTCTCTTCCCTTTTATTTAGTATATGTACACTCATTACTGATATCTGTTCTTGTAGCTCAGCTATTTCTCTCTTAATATCTATTAATGATTCATTCTGATCCAGTAAACCTATCATAGTATAATTATAATACACTAACACATACATTATGATTCAGTACCAGTTTTATTTGTTAATATTTGTTCTATTTCCATTCTCATTCCCTTTATGATTTTGTATGATGCTGCAATAATGAAAACAATTAATTATAATAAAATAATAAATTTCTGACCTGAAGTAGGATCTGTATGACATTTAATGTGATATTCTTTTTTCATTCCTAGAATAATTAATAAAATCAACATTTTACATCATAT